GAGGAGAGGAGGCAGGAGAGGCGCGCGCGGCGTGCGCGTTGGCAGAGCGACGAACTCAGCCGGCGACGAAAGGCGGGCTACCAGCAGCCGCGGGGACACCACGACTACCACGACGACGACTACCACCACCAAGAGGGCGGGGGCGGGGGCTGCTGCTCGTCCCCGCGGCCGCCGCCGCTGCTCGAGATCGAGCCGTGCTACCTGTTCCGCATCCCGCCCGCCGCCTCCAACCCGCTCGTCTCCCTCCAGTGGAGCTTCCAGGCCGGCAACGCGCCCTTTTGGATCGGCCGGCTACGCATATACCTCGGCGGACAGGCCGCCCCTCCTCCTCCCTCCTCCTCCTCCTCCTCCTCCTCCTCCTCCACCACCACCACCACCGTCGCCGGTGCCTCTTCCTCCGCCCCCTCCACACTCGACCTCATGCTCGAAGATACCGCCGCCACCTTCAGAAGCAGCAGCAGCAGCAGCCAGCAGCCCGCCGGTACTGCACCACCGCCACCACCGCCACCACGCCACCAGTCAATAACGACAACGACACGCGCAGCAGCAGCAGCAGCAGCTGTTCTGGGCTCCTACACGCTGGACCAGACCGGCAAGTTGGGCGTGCCGCGGGTGGCGCCCACCAACGACAGCCGCCGCTTTTTCGTGCTCTACCTCGACCCGGTGCGCAGCGAGCTGGTACGGACTCTCCTTTCCGCTGCAACACACACGACACACGCCACACACACGCCACACACACGACACACACACAACACACACACGATACACACACACACACACACACGACACACACGACACACGCCACATACACGACACACACGACACACATCACGAGATTCCATAATTGCTTCGGCCTACCAACGTTCTCGTCGTGTGTGGCGGCTGGTGCGACAACAGTGGGGGCAGGGCGCGGTGGGGCTGGGCTTTGCGGAGCGGATCGATGCGTACGAGTTCGAGGAGCTCTTGCACGGCCACGCGCGCAACAGTGGCGAGTCGATGCTCAAGCGGACCGTTTCACGCAGCGAGGGCGCCGCCCTTCCCCACCACCACCACGTGCTGGTGGAAAAGGCTATTTCTGCCAACGGGCCACCCACCCGGTCGAGCCACGCCAGCGAATCCGCAGCAACAGCGGTGAATCCCCAGGCGGCCACCGCAGCTCTCCACGCTCTCCCCCTGAAGCAGGCGCAGCACCAGCAGCCTGACGAGCCCCTGATGCCGCGACACGGACGGCGCCAGCACTTCCTGCAGGCGGCCGAATTCATGGCCATCCCGACAGCACCTGACGAGCAGGAGGAAGACTCGAGCCCCGCTGGCTCTGCCACCGCCACCACTACCAAGAGGGGCCACGCGCGACCGACGAGCGACCGAAAGAGGAAAGGTCTCAGCCTGCCGCCCAACATGCAGGGCTGGGTCAAGCACGAATGAGCTGTTTATTTTTAATTTTTTTAAAACACGTCCAAAATAAAAGCAAAACAAAAAGAGGGGACTCTCCGCCTAAAATAAACACGTGCCACCCACCATTTGCCCTGTTGTTTGACCCCGACAGCACACAGCATCAGCACACCGACCAAAGTAAATCATTTTAGGGTGCATGTTCCCCCATCAGTTCAGTACTGGGGAGGCCTGATGGGGCCTAACTTCCCTCTTGTTTTATCTGGTTGTGCTATATCTGTTCGTCGTGTTTGCCTGCTTATTTTTATTTTTTTGTCCGCCCACGCATCATTACATTACATCTCCTGTCCCAACAACTTCACACCCGCCGGTGGCCTTATTCTTCTTGCCACCGTCCAAATCGGCCCTTCCACAATCATATCGGTATCACTCCCTCCATCGCCCTCACAAACTTTTCAATCATTCTTTATTTGTCTACTTTTTCCTAATCTAACTTTTTTTTGACCCACCACATCATCCTTTTTTTCATGCGTGCCCATCGTTGCGCCCGTCGTCTCGTCCGTCCGCCCGCCATCTCGCCCGCCCGTAATCTTGGCCGCCCATCGTCTATCGTCTCGCCCGCCCGCCTGCTGTCTGGCCCGCCCGCCCATCATCTCACCCGCTGTCTGGCCCGCCTGCCCATCGTCTCACCCGCTGTCTGGCCCGCCTGCCCATCGTCTCGCCCGCCTGCCCGCCCATTGTCTTGCCTGCCCGCCCGCCCATCGTCTCGCCCGCCCGCCCGCCCATCGCCCCACCCGCTGTATGGCCCGCCAGCCCATCGTCTCGCCCGCCCGCCTGCCCATCGTCTTGCCCACCTGCCCATCGTCCCGCCCGCCCGTCCTCCCCACCCATCATCCTGCCCATACTCCCGCCTGTACGCACTGTCCTCCCAGCCATCATCTTCCAGCCCGTGCCATTGCGCTTGTCGTCCCGCCCATTGTCTTGCCCACCACCGATACTATGGACACTTTGGTACCACTAGCTTCCTTTGATTTATGCTTGACACGTGGCCAAGGATTCCTTCCCCCAGCACAAGGTGATGATGGCTGTTCCCCCCCAAAACAAGCAATAGTCAGCGTCGTCCAAGTCTCTTAAGGCATGGACGTGCTGACTTGTCGCCTTTGGGGGCCAAAAAGAAGGCCTGTTTCTTGGCGCACTTCTCTATAGGAGAGCACCAGTGCAGGCCTTTGATGTGGCAGCCACTTCTTCCATGGCCATGGGGGAATTGGCGCAAATAGGACTGACCCCCCATCACACCCCATGCAGGATGTGCGCCATTGCCTCAAGAGGAAGGCCAATGAGCTGATCACTCCCATGGATGATGTCCTCCTGGAGTGCCCCTCCAAGTATGACTCCCTCCCACCAACCTTTCTTCCTGTTTTACCAACCTAACACCCATTGCACACCAGAAAGAAAAGGCATGGTGGCAAGGCAGCCCGGAAGGCCAACGCCAGGAAGAATCGGATGCGTAAGCGCAGGGAGAAAGCCATCAACCAGGCCAAACTATCGGTTACTGAGCTGGAACGGAAGCTGGTCCTTTCCCAGATTGCTGCTGAAACTGCAGTGCTGCTGGTGGCCGAGCTTGCCCCAGGCATGGCTGCATATGACTTCCTCAACTTCAACACGGGGCATCCGGAACATGCTGCACAGGTTGAGGCAGAGAAGTACCACGACGAGCGTGTCGCAAGGGAGGAAGACGGCTACTCAGCCATTGCCCCTGGTACTGCCTGCATCCTCCATGATGCCTTTGTCCTTGCGCATCTCACCAATGATGGCTATCTTACTGGTACGCCCTGTTCTGTCATCCTTGGACCTCCCGACACTGTTCTTCATTGGACCTCCTGACACTTCTCCCACCCCCATACTTAGAGGAGAAGCTGCAGGAGCTCCTATATCTCCTCAAGGAGATGAGTGCCCACATGAGGATCCAGAAACGGAGCTCAATTGCTGAGCATGGTGCTACCTATGGCATGGGCTGGGCACGGTATACAGTCACCACATCCCTGCCTGAAGAAAACTTGGACCTTAGGCGCTGACTATTGCCTGTTTTGGGTGATGGGGAACAAGTAGGAAGTACACGGCTGGCAAGAAGCGTGCATTTGAGTCCTACCTCATCAAGGCTGGCAAGTTCCGCACAGAGCACGGTGCAACAATAGAGGAGGCACGCCCTGACCTCTTCAAGTTGACTGAAGAGTTTGCCCTTAGGTTCGAGGAGATCCTGGGCACAATATTTCCCCCTGCCAAGGTTAACAGGTTCATGCATCACTTAGTCTTTTTGTTAGTTGTCCCTACTAGCCACTCACTCCCCCCACTCCATTCTACCAGGGAAAAACATGCACAAGCTACCAAGGCCCCAGTGTTTAGAGAGACTGCCACCACTGTCATGTTTGACACCTTCAACTACACCACCGCAGCCCATTGTGACCGTGACAATGGGAGGTGCAAGGCATTTGCAGTGTTCCTCGAGGAACATGTGCATGGGTGTGACAGGCAGCAGTGTGCCCGCAGGTGGCGATTCTTCCTCCCAGAGCTCAAGCGTTTCATCTCAGTCCAACATGGCACCATGGTTGTGTGGGACAGTGAAGTGCTTCTGCATGGTACTGCTATTCACTCTCTCCCAGATGATGGGGCATGTAACAGCAATCGCTGGGCTGTTGTGAGCCAGGTAAAGAAGGGCCACTGAATTTTCCTTTTTTCCTTAGAAGATCAATGTTGTTGGACTCATGTCCTAAAGTAGTTTATTGTTTAAGAACTAACATATTTAAGTAGTTTCTCCCTCCTTAGAACTAGGAGCAGCTCATGCGTTGCTCACATGTAGCTTACACATAGCTCACACATGGACAATGCATTCTAGAATGAGGAAAGGAGAGAGTTTGAAATAAAGTGATACAGCTAGGTTTATTCAAGTTCTCCCTGTTTTGAAATTTTTTTCGGTGACAACTCGTATTTCAGCCTTTTCAGGGGATGCAACGAAAACGAGTAACACTCATTAAACGCGTTTAACTAGTTTAACGCGTTTAATCAGTGTTGCCGCAGGTGGTTTGTGGTCATTTTACTCGTTTTTTACGCGTTTTTTTACTCCTTTAACTCGTTATTTACTCGTTCTACGCGTTTTTTACAGCTAGGTTTTCAAGTCCTCCCTCTATTTTTTTTAAAGTGAACTTTTTTTGCGTGAGCCCACTTTTGAAAAAAAAAATCTGCGCAGCACGCACCGTTTTGCGCTCGGAACCCGCGTTCTGGGTGCGCGCACTGGCGCCAGCAGGGGAACCGCGTTTTTGGGTGCAGTGAACGATTTATTGGGTTTGAAACAGCACACAGCACTGGCGGGGGACGCAGTGCCACTGCACCGAGTGGCATGCCACTATCAGATGTGGCGATCAGATCGAAATCTTAGAAAGAGTAATCTTTAGATTAGATAAGATTAGCTTGGATTTAGTGGAGGCAGGCGTGGAAAAGAGCGCTGGGTGGTGGTGCAGTGGGGCATACCTGCGCTCAAGCTCTTATGGTGGGGGGGGCAAACTAAATCAAAGAAGAACAGGTTAGATTAGAGTATCTATATTATAGGGCGAGCGCTCGTGCTGGTGCAGAGTCTTGAGAGGAGTGTGAAGACCAGCTGGCGTGGTGTGCTGCAGTGTGGAGGAGAAGTAAGGAAGAACCAGTGTCCACAAAAATTTGGGCTTGGTTTCTTTCTTACTTCTCTTCCTGCACCGCACGGCCACACAACCTACCAAGTGCCCTGCAACGGGCAGGCAGCACGCAACGCTGACGCAGCGCCGCCACCGCACCACGCCCCCCCAAAAGATGATTCAAAGATGAAGTAGATTTCGATTAACCTCAATCTGATTACATCTATTCGTCTGCGCTTCGCGAGAGCAGCGCCGCACCACCAAGGCTCCACACGTACACTGTCCCCCCTAACTTCAAGCATTCGAACCAAATCTAGATCTACTCACAGATCGTGGAGCAGCACCAGTGCGAGGACGGCACACCAGGGTGTACGACAGCGTCCCCACCACTGAGAGATGTTTCAAACCCAATAAATCGTTCACTGCACCCAAAAACGCGGTTCCCCTGCTGGCGCCAGTGCGCGCACCCAGAACGCGGGTTCCGAGCGCAAAACGGTGCGTGCTGCGCAGATTTTTTTTTCAAAAGTGGGAGGACTTGAATAAACCTAGCTGTACAGGTGGGGCGCAAGGAGACTAACGCTGCCATGTGATAGTCACGTTGAGCAGACATCAGTCAAGCGAGTTCTCCAGCTTCTATCAGGCAATTTTCTTCGTGGCCTTGCAAAAAAGAGCATCCCCTGAAAAGGCCGAAATACGAGTTGTCGCCGAAAAAAATATCAAAACAGGGAGAACTTGAATAAACCGGAGATGAGTCGCCGACCGCGGAGATCGCGATGTTGAAGTTGGTCGCGACTTTCGCGGTGAACCGCTTCTCCCCTGCCGTGCCGTGCCTTCCCTGCCTTCCCCGCCGTGCCTTCCCTTCCCTTCCGTGCCTTCCCTTCCCTGCCGTGCCTTCCCCGCCGTGCCTTCCCTTCCCTGCCGTGCCGTGCCTTCCCTTCCCTGCCGTGCCTGCCGTGCCTTCCCTGCCGTGCCGTGCCTTCCCTTCCCTGCCGTGCCGTGCCTTCCCTTCCCTGCCGTGCCTTCCGTGCCGTGCCTTCCCTGCCGTGCCGTGCCTTCCCTGCCGTGCCGTGCCTTCCCTGCCGTGCCTTCCCTGCCGTGCCGTGCCTTCCCTGCCGTGCCGTGCCTTCCCTTCCCTGCCGTGCCTTCCCTTCCCTCGCCGTGCCTTCCCTCGCCGTG